CAGTAAACTTCCTCGTACTGTGCTACTGTCCGGTTTCCTTGGATTAATTCCAAAAATTCCATTTTTTTTTTGTCTCGAATAAAATATGGGAAATACTTTTCATTAAATGCCTATAGAAATACTTCCCAAGTCAAGGGTTATTTTCTTTGACCAATACTCCTTTTGCCATTCGCCACCAATGTTGTGCTTCACCTTCTAACATAAAAACTGCCAAGGCCACCTTCCTATCATCAGGACATTCCATTATCTCGAATATTTTCTCCAATTGCATAATCCATCCCTCGGCTTCCAGTACATTTACAACACCCTTAAAAGAAGGTAGGTTCAATTTATTAAATTGTTCAACATTCCTCCCACCATTTCCGTAACTGACTGCCTGGGTGAATTGTTGTTTTCCATCTGATGTTGCATTAGAGCAACTATATTTTCCAAGGCTTTGTGAATTCCTTCTATATTAGCTCCAGCTATTCTGGATCTTGACTTCGTCCCGGTCTGTACACGTAATAAATGTGATTTTAAGTAATTCCTAATAATCTTAAACCTATTGCTTTGATACCATAGTTGTCACGCCCCAAGAATTTACAATACTGATATTCCTGAGATGTGACAGTTAAAACATATAGACATATCTTTTTAGGACAAATTTACATTGGCGAATTCTTACAAAGTAACAAAAGAAAGTTTAAACATAACTACAATATCTTCCAGAGTTGATCCTGACGAGCATTTAAAATGAAACTGCAGTTATCCTGAAAACAATGTGTACCATAATTTGATGAGTGTGACTACTTAGTAAGTGATCATCATAATCCTAAAAATAATCATGGTTGAAAGATATCAATATTTTCAAAAAGGAGATCCTATTAAAAAAAAATGCATTAACAATTTCACTTAAAAAAATGCATAATTAAGTATAATCCGAATAATTGAAATGCGTATAACATTTTAACGGCAGTGCATAATTCAAAAGATTTCACAAATTACCCTACTGGCGTCCCACGTAGGTCACTTATATACCCCATCAGCGTCTTGATGGGTCCACTTAATCCCTATCGGCGTTCCAGATAGGTCTACTTAATCCCTGCAGGTCCACTTATACCTCAATAGCGTACCGGATGAGTACACTTAATCCCTATCCGCGTACCGTATAGGTCCACTTATACCTCACCGGCGAACCGGATGAGTTCACTTGCATACTTAAAGTATTTCTCAATCTCTTTAAACATTTGAAAGTAGCAATATCATATACTCAACGTATCACTGAAATTATTAATATGAATTTCACTTAAACCATTAATAACAGACACTTTCAATAATATTTCAAAAATAACTAGTCAAATATTTTGGGCTTAAATTTAGAAAGGTAGCAGTTCGTAAAGACATTCAAGGATAATTGCCAATCTAATATGTATAAAAAAAACTCTTATAGAAATTCAAGAATACAGAATTATCACAATTTATGGGATCTCAATTCTCAAATAAACATTTCACAGACAATGCTATAATCAAATGCAAAAATATTAGTTTTCAACTAATAAGGCAGTCATTTGCACATGAATTTTACAATGTCTAAATATTCAAAAACAGTAGAAAGAAATCTTACAATTTTACTAAAAGTAGAAATATCACATTTATTTTTAATAATTTTACAGTATCTAAAATTCTCTAACAATAGACAAGAAACAAATTTTATTTGCAAGAATTTACAGCATTTAAAATTTCTAACATAAATAAAATATCACAATTTTATTAAAAAGATTATTTTTCGAGACAATGAGGTCACTTACCTATAATATTTGAGTGTTTGAGTGGGACTTTTGGTATAATTTGGCTAGAGAGAGAAAGAGCTCACTGCGTTTCGACTAGAGAAAGAAAGAACTCAAAAGTTTTCTAGAGTGAGAGTCCTCACCTCTCCGAATTTAAATTCTTAAGACATATTATTATATTATTTTATTGAGCTCCACCTCATACATGAGGTATGACGATAAGGTTATACGTGAAACCTTTAAGGGCCACATCAACTAAAGGACGTGGTAAAGGAAAGGAAAAAGTTAATAAAAGTGGTGATGGTCCCTAAGGACCATAATACTTATATTTTTTTTTTTTTGAAAGTTTATGATTGTTAGAAGCCGACCCTATATAGTCGGGATAAGATTCAGATGATGATGGCGGCGATGATATATATTTTATAATATATAATTAAAATTTATTTTATAATATATGATTAAAATATGTTTTTCTATAAACTAGTCATCAAAAGATGGGGATTTTTCAAAAATTGACCGACTAAATCGGGATCGAGAATCGATATATAAACTACTCATCAAAAGATGGACTGATTTTTCAAAAAGTGGCAGATGCGAGTTGGTTCGATTCCAAAGGTTATGTATTCTTAAATTTGATGCCCGATGGTGGCAATTAAATTATACGATAAAAAAAAGTTATTAAAAATAATAATTGAGTACCCACCACTATTATCTTTCACCAAAAAAAATTAAATTTACGTACAAAAAAAAAACATAAAAACTTTATTAGGCTATTATCTCATGGAATTATTTTATTATATGATTAATAATTAATTAATTAGTTAATTGGGATTAAAAAATTAGTATTAGCTCATAAGACATTAAAAAAAACATGAATATTAACTATAGATGATATTTTAAGAGAAAAAAATAGCACTAACTCATATAACTTTAGAATTTATTTCAAGTTGCTTTATCAATTATGCCATATTGCAAATATGAATTTCTTAAATTTATTAATAACCAAATCTTGTATTTTATTTATTACTTTATTTATATTATAAATTTTGTAATATATTATTTTTTCTTATAATTATAAATAAGATTTTTCAAAATAGATAATATTATAAGATATTTTATATTTTTATTTGTATAGTAAAATAATTATAAAATATAAAGTTATAAACCAACAACTTCAATTTCAATATATATTATTATAGTTAGTTACGTTGTAATAATTTTGAATGAGTAAAGTGAATAAATAAATGTTTGATACTTTGATGTGCTGCTAATTTATGTGGAAAATTAATTTTTTTAATCATAAAATATAGAAGTATTTTCTAATATTTTAAAATTGTTTTGATATAATATTATAATACAATAGTACAATTAATAATTGTACATACATCCAGACATGAAAACATCTCGGTATGCACCTATTTTTATAAAATAATGAAAGTACATAATGTATCACTCTTAATTTCTTTTATAAGCTAGAAGAATACTATTTTTAGAGATTTATAGTTATTTTTTGAAAAAAAAATTAAGAGAGAAAAAATAGAAAAAATTATTAAAATAATAATTGGTTGAAAGGGCCCACTACCCCTATCCTTCACCAAACAATACAAAAGACTAATACTATTATGCTATTAGCTAATTGGGATTAAAAAAAGGGTGCGGTTTGTATAGAGCCTAGGCACTAAACAATCAAATTAGAGCCTACCTTCAAATAGTATCGAGAAATACAGTTTCAATACTGAAAATCTTTGTGATAGCTTTAAAATATATTTTTATCTTTATTTATAAAGTTTAAAGCTTCAAAAATAGTGTAGATCGACATATCTATAAAAACTTGATAATCTTGAAAATTGACGGGCTAAAAATGCATTATAAAATATACTATTTCCCAAACTTGAAATCCATTTTTTTCTCATTTCCATGCATCTTGATGTCGAGATGATCAATTTGAAGATATCTGGGCATCAAAACAACATCTTCTAGTGAAAGTTCTGAGATAGGCTCAAATTTGATTGATAAGAGCCTCGGCTCTATATAAACTTTTCCCTTAAAAAAAGTAGTACTAGCTCAAAGATATTAAAAAAGTAAAAAAATAATACTAATACTGGTTTATTGAATATTAAAAAATATATTAGTTTATGGGATATTTTAAGAGAGAAAAATAACACTAGCTCACACCACTTTAGAATTTATTGCAAGTTGCTTTATCAATTATCCCACATTGTAAATATGAATTTCTTTATTTCTTTTTCTAATTTTATTAAAATATGATTGGAAATTTATGTTACTAAATTATATATTTCTATCAACATTAATTATTATACATTAGATTTATTTATTTGTAAGGGTCATACCCTTCTTTTTTGAATCATGCTTATTATAATATTATAATTAATTAATATTAATTACAATGATAATCAAATCTTATATTTTATTTATTAATTTATTTCCATTATAAAATACGCAATGTATTATTTTTTGTTATAGTTGTAAATTAGATTTTTTAAATTAGATGGTATTATAAGACAAATTTCAAATTTATTCTTATTTGTACAATAAAATGATGATAAAATAATAAAATACAAACCAACAATTCTAATTTCGATGTATAATATTGTATTTAGTTAGATTTTATTAAATGTTTGATGAGAATCGTCATACAGGGAAAGAGTTTCTTAATATAATGTAAAAAAATAAAAGTTATTAATGTAGTATCTTCATTTCTTATTGGATTTTTAAAAAATAATATTTATAATAAATTTTTTTAATTTTTTTTAAGACCGAATCCGATTGATTCGGTCGATTCCCGATTCAATACACCGATTCGTCGGTACAAATGGGTTTTGGCACCGATCCGTTTTTTAAACCACCTGTATAAAATGTATTTACACATGGGATTATACTTGGACCCAACCTGCGACATAATATGGTCCGCGTAGGGTACAGTTGGACCCAACTTGGGCCGGGTCAAGTAATGTTGACCCCAGTCCCAAACCCCACAAGTGGGCAGTGGTCAACCCAACCTGTTGACTGTTGATGCTTATGAGTAAGGTTTGTACAAAGGGAAAGTGTTCAGTGGGTTTAGGGTTTGAGACTCGTAGTGTGCGGTGCTGGTGACATAGCCTTTGTAGACGGTAAAAGCAGCTGCCTTTCTATCTCTTATGCAATCAAATCTTAGAAAGTGTGATTAGTGAACTTTCACAGTAAAGATATATAACAATTGTCTCTCTTATTATTCGTTTCATAATTTGCTGAATAACATAGCCCAGTTTTCTTTACTTTTATGTGTAAAACATATTGCCTTTACCCATTATTCCTTGGCAGAAATCACAAGTCTTTCATTCACAACCAGTTCATTGCATGCTTCGTCTACTTCTGTGCTTTTCCTGAAATTTCAGATTGTTTTGAAGGGGGTAGATATACTTTACGGGGTTTTTATTTGGATGAGAGTTCATTTTTTACTTCTTCTTTTTATCAGAAGGAAGGAAGGAGAGATGTCTGGAATGGATGACCAGACAAGCAAGCTTTTCAGGATAAGACGGACATTAATGCAGATGCTTAGGGACCGTGGTTATCTGGTGGGTGACTTTGAAATCAATATGACAAAAGCCCAATTCATCGAAAAGTTTGGTGATGAAGTCAAGAAGGATGACCTCGTGATCAACAAGACGATGCGCAACAATCCTTCGGAACAGGTATATATATATATATATCTTTCTCCTTCTCCCTAACTCACTTTTAGTTTTGTAGATACCTTAATTGGTCATTGGGTTTGAGTGTACGTTTTTGTTTGGTTCTGGTCCATACTTTCCCTGGTTCAGTTGTAAATCCTAGAATTGAATTCATTCTCATGAGAATACATAGAGGAACAATCATGTCTTTTCATTTTCGAAGAAATAGTTTAGAGTTTGCTTAAAGTTGTGAAACAAATTTGGTATGTGCTGGTTCAGCATCATCTTAGATAATTGGAATGAGGCCTGATGAGGATGAGGATGTTCTATGAGCTGGGATGATGATGAGTTTGCTTAATAAGGATCAAGTTTATGCACCCAAAACTGTAGGATACACTAAGAAGTTACAGCTGTGGGAGGTAGTTCCTAGATATAATAATGATATTGACATTGCAGAACATCCACATTTGAATAGGAAACGTTTTTGGGGAACATAGTAGTGGGATCTTTGTTAAGAGTACTTATTGGGTTTTGATGATTTTTTTTTTTTGAGAAATGGCAACCTTTACAGAATAAGAATAGTAATACATACATCAAAAGAAAGAGGCAGCCCACAAACTAGGTGCTTCAACAGTGTTGCAAAAAGCGCTAGGCGGCTAGGGGGTCCAAGCCTCCCAGCGCCTAGGCGGGCGCCCAAAACCTGGGCGGTCCAGTAGAGAGAAAATGTCTCTATAGTTTAACAATATTAAGTATAACTATATAAAACATAAGAATTAGGGATTTAAGGCACATCAAAAGTATAGTACACAAGTCCACATATCACACACTCCTCCATACTCCATAAGACAATAACTATAAGTCCATATCCAATTATCCATAGTCTATAGTCCACACTCCACAGTCCACACAGTTAAAACATTAAATTTACCAACCAAATTACCAAAGTTACCAAACTAGTGGAACCACAAATCCACAAATCCACAATACACAACCAAGAGGAGGAAAACAAAAATGAAAGAAATACTTGAAGACTCAAAAGAATCTTCAATCATCATTCATCATAAAAAAAAGTAGGGTCATCTGCATCTGCATCATATACATTCGGAGTCACCAAAAACTAGTTTTTTTTGTGGATTTTGTCTGTCTAAAATAGGCTCTAATAGGTTTTAGGTTTCAATTGAACCTAAAACCCACAATTTTACCTATTTAGTATTAAAAAAATGACCAAAAAATGCCCTCAACAAGTGACATTTCTGCCCTTGGGTGGCCGCCCAGGGCTGGGCGTTGGGCACTTGCGTAGGCAGGTTCCCAGGTGCCTAGGCGGGCACCTAGGGATATCCGCCAATTTTGACCACTTAGGCTTGGGTGATGTGCCTAGGCCTTCTGGAGGCGGTCCACTTTTTAAATCCCTGGCTCCGTGTATAAGAGAGAGGGAGAGAAGAAAGAGAAATAGGAAAATAAGGGCTTAAGAGAGAGAAGTACAGAAAGATAGGTGAGTAGAACTCAACACAAACAAATCTACATTTTAAAATCGAAACAAGTCTTCTTCAAAGTTGCAGCGCACTAGCAATCTTGCAAGCAACTAGTGGGATGATCTTAGTATAAAGGTTGCAGCCTAGATGAGGCAAAAACAGGTCGCATGAGGCAGGCCTTCCATTTGAAACTCTGTCTAGAAGGGGCAGGGCCTTTGCCAATGACACCCACCCTATGTTGCAAAACGAGCGAGGGGAGGGGATGGGGGAAGATGAAGGGCAGGGGGGGGGGGGGGGGAGTGAAGGGAGAAAGGGGTAGAAGGGAGGAGAGGAGGGATAAACATGTGAGAAAGAGAGGGAAGAAAGGAATGTAGAAGGAGGGACAGGTTGAGAGGGAAAATGGAGGTGAGGGAGAAAGCGTAGAGGATACAGGGTTGGGGGGTTAAAAGGAGAAAGGGAGGGGTGGTTTGTAAGAGGAAAGAGAGGGAAGAAAGGAATGTAGAGAAGCATGAGAGGGAAAGGAGGAACGAGTTGAGAGGGAAAAAGGAGGTGAGGGGATCAAAGGGTAAGTGGAGTAGAGAAAGTGCAGAGCACTGAGGGTGTTGGGGCGTAAGAGGAAAATAGTAGATGAAGGGAGAAGATGAGAGTTGGGGGCTACGTAAACGACAAAGATCCCCCTGTTAAAAACTATTCGCCGTTTTTGCTCTATATATATTTTCCCCCTTTTCTATTCTTTTTCTTTTTTCTTCTTCTTCCTTTCCCCTTTTCTTTTTTTGTTTTTTGTTTTTTCCCCCCCCCCCCCGCACTTCCTTTGCTCCTCCTCTGCCTCCTCCTTCGTTCAATTCAACCTTGTTTTTTCTCTCATCACCCATTCTCTCGCTCTAGCCTGTTGGTCAGTATGCCCAGGCGCGAAAAACGTCCCTCTTACTCATGCTGGTTCCACCATCCACCACCTCACCTTGCAACCCCAGCTTCGACGCCAAGACCCTTATCCCTCCCCTTGCCGCCCCCCTTCTCTCACTTCCCTCCACCTACGCCGACTTACCTTTCCCGCTCTGGCTTTCCTCCCCCTCGCTCCGGCTCTATCTCCTCCCCCCCACTCTATGTTTTCTCGGATGCCCTTCCCTCCACTACTCCTTCCCTCACTTTCTTGCCCCTAGGTTTTTCTCCACTTTCCCACCTTTTCTCGACCTCTCTTGTTGCCCCCCTCCCTAACCCTTCCAGCTCTGATAGTCTAGCCTCTCCCTAACCCTTCCAGCTCTAATAGTCTAGCCTCTGACCTTGATGATCTCGTTCCTATCCCTTTAGAGATGAAACTCGCCTTAAATGCAGCCCAAGCTTCCAACAACGGTATCCCTCCTTGTATACCTCCTCTCCAACCTGCTACAAAAGTGTGATTGGAAGTTTGCTAGCTGGAGGGCAGATTCCTTTCCTTATAGGGTAGGATTACACTCATTAATGCAACTCTTTCTACCATTCCCATCTACCACATGTCCCTCTTCTAGATTCCGGCTTGTGTTCTCCATTGACTTGAAAAGTTCATGAGAGATTTCCTCTGGTTTGACTCTTCTGACCACCACAAATTTCACCTGGTTTCATGGCATAGAGTCACCACCCCAAAACATTTGGGGGCGTAGGGATCAAAAGGCTTCTCACTATGAATCAGGCCCTGCTTGGTAAGTGGTGGTGGAAGTTCACCTCCCCTCACCTCCTGTTGTGGAAAATTATCGTTTAGCATAAGTATGGCCTGGACACGGGTGGTTGGCTTTCCCGCACTGCTCTTCATAGATACTTTAGGGGCTTGGAAAAGCATTTCCTCTAATAAAGCTGCCTTCCAAAACTTCTGTAGGTTGAACCGTATTAGGTTTTCGTAAGACATCTGGCTTGGTAGTGCCCCCCTCTCTTTAGCTTACCTTCCCTTTTCACCATTGCCTTGAATTAGGATTCACGTATTAGGGATTACTGCAAATTCTATAACTCCGGTCTTGTTTGGACCCCCATTTTTAGAAGAAATCTTACTGACCTGAACTGGCTGCCTTGAACCCACTCCTCCAATCTCTTGCAACCACTTTCAGTCCTCTCTTGTCTCCCGATGTTATCATTTGGTCTCCCAATCCTTTTGGCGTCTTCTTAGTTACTTCTTTTTACTCCGCCCTTCTGCTGAACCTTTCCCCTTCTCCAAACCTTAATAAATGCTGGTCCTTGCCGGTGCCCCTTAAGGTGCAAGCCTTTTTATGGGTACTCCTTCAGGGTAGAACTCTCACTCTTGACCAATTACAAAGGCATGTCCTCCCCTTAACCAACATATGTATCATGTGCCTTTAAGGAGAGGAATCAAACTCTCCCACCTTTTCCTTCATTGCGAAACAGCGTCGGCCCTCTGGTCTGTGCTCCTCAATCTTTTTCACCTTCAGTGGGTTACCCCCTCCCCTCTATAGAAAGCTTATTTTTCCCCCTTCTTAATCCACGACTCCCTCGTTATGGGAAAAAACTGTGGTAAACTCTCTGTGGCTGCTCTTCTTTGGGGTATTTGGCTCGAAAGAAATGCCAGAACTTTTAGGAGTAGGGGTGACCCTGCCCTTTTTGTCTCTGTTACCTCCCTTATTTCCTCCTAGGCTAACCTAATTCCCATCTTTGTGAATATCCCCATTTCTAATTTTCTTAACAATTGGGTTGCCTTTGGGCCCTCTCTAAGCCCACTGCTACCATAAAAAGGAACTGGTCCCCTCCCCCCAGCCAGCTCCTTTAAGCTCAACACTGATAGTTCCTCTCTAGGGAATCCTGGTCGCTCAGGTTATGGAGGGAGAGTGGCCAACTCTGAAGGCCTATTCCTTGAGTTCTCACACTTTATAAGATCTATAGACTCCACCACTGCCGAAGCCCTCACCTCGAGAGAAGGCAACGAATCCCTCTCCTCGACCCACTGCCTCTTAGCCTTGTCGTCGAGTTAGAGGGAGAGAGAGAGAAGGGGTGAGAGAGAAAAGGGGCAGAGCGAGAGAGAGAGAGAGAGAGAGGACACAGAGAGATAGAGAGAAAGAGACAAGACAGAGGGGAGAGAGACAGTTAAAGAGATTGAGAGAGAATTAAGACGAGAGGGGGAGAAGGAGATAGAGAATCGAGAGAGAGATAGAGAATCGAGAGAGAGAGAGAGAAAGAAAGAGAGAAAGAGAAACGGGAAGAGAGAGACGAGACGAAGGGAGAGATGAGATGAGAGAGAAAGACGGGACGAGATAAGAGAGAGAAGGGGTGAGAGAATGAGAGAGAGAAAGAGACAAGAGATTTAAAAAAAGAAAGAAAGAGAGAGAGACCGAGAGGGAAGAGAGAGATATGCTTTTTGAGGCCAATAAGACACCTTTCGAAATTCATCCAAATAAGACTTATTTGATTAGTGCTTTCGTAGTCCATAGGCGTTTTGGTACCTGTAGGATGAGGCTGCAACTGGCTTCCTCTTTATTCGCTCCGGGGATATAGGCGTGTCGAAAAATACCCTACAACAGAGTTGTCATGCCATTTCTTGAAATCTAAGATTATCCTTTCATTCCAAAGTGCTTACAAGTTGTGGTTAATAAAGATGGAGTCTTTTTGCTTCTACCTATAGAAGACATTCATTAAGGCAACATGATATTACTAGTCTGGCTATCCATGAAGTTACCTATGCTTATCTAGGTATATTTTTGAATCTAGCCTAGAAAAATGTCACCTACACTCGATTTAGGGTGGTCCTTTTTTACTGTATTCCATTGATATGTGTAAAGTGTGCAAGCATGAGCCATATACATGAGCCAAATTTATAACAATGACATAGAAAAAGAATTTCAAAAATCAAAATGGCAGGGCTTGGGCCAAAGGCTAGGCCATGTTGCTAGTGATTGGGACTGTGGATTGGCCTGTTTCCTCCATTGCCAAAGATGTGGTGCACGTAGATATCTTCCTTGGGAAGTTCACCGGCATATTGACCATAACAGTCATAAATAATTGAAACACTGACCCACCAAAGGATGAATCTAATGTATTTGAGCAGGCCCAAACAAAACCAAACTCGGATGCTACACTGAATAAAGAGATGGCATATTTACTTTGCCTTTATTTGGTACAGGGATACCTCAATTATTAAGATGATCTAGAGTGCCTGGCCCAACATCACCAACTATGCAAAGTCCTGGTTTCTAGGGGATGCCGGATCCTCTAGTCTTTGAGAGAAGGGTAGGGATGATCTAGAAATAACCTTTTATATGGATTTTACCATCAATATTCCTGTGCTGTTTGGGAAGGCATACTATATATCCTTTCCACTACCCAAAAGAAAGCCAGAGTTTTTCTTTTTTCTTTTTTAATTTTAAAAAAGAGGAAGGCAGATGATTTTTCTGAAAGTTGAATTGCATTCTTCTCTTTTTTAACAGTGGTTAGAGAGTTGACCAGTTAGTTAGAGTAAAATGCCATTGTCCATAGGCTGATGCTGGATGCTCGATGAAGTTAAAGGTTGATTGTAATAACTATCCAATATAGAGTTGGGGATTTAAGGTTACATGTTTATTAACTAGACTCTGGGTTATTTTTGTACTCTATATATCTAATACAGAGCTAAACTTACTCAAAAGAAATTAAAAAAGAAAAGGAAGAAAATGGGTTCGGTTTTCTGCCCCTTTACATATTCTGAAAAATGTGTTAGACCCGGTGCAGACTCAGGGATTTGTATGTGTCCGGCGCAAAACTGCCTTAGTCTGCAGAGTAACCTGTGTTTTCTTTAAAACATAGGACCCTTAGCCAGTTGGGGACCCTCTGGAGCCTTCAGGCTGCCATTTGTGGCTGACTCGTTCGAGTTGGACGTGGCGAGTTTTTGAATACTGGTATCAGGAATTGGGCTTGGGTCAAGACGGTAGAGGCTAGGTTTTCATATCACAACGTCTCAAGTTTCATTCCTACGTAACCTTGTCAAAAAAAAAGGAATACTGATACCCCGTTACTGAATTTTAGGTTTTTCCATAGGTTGTTTCTCCCTTGAAAAAGTTTCAATCCTGACTTACGTTGGTTTTGTGTATTATTAGCTTGCCATCATTTTGGATTGATCTTGACCTGTCCTGTTTTGTTGCATCAGATATATGTTTTCTTCCCAGAGGAGCAGAAGGTTGGTGTAAAGACTGTCAAAACATACACAGAGCGTATGAAGTCGGAGAATGTGTTTCGAGCTATATTAGTCCTTCAACAGAACTTGACTCCCTTCGCCCGGCAATGTGTCCAAGAAATTTCTGCTAAGTTCCATTTGGAAATTTTTCAGGTGATCTCTGATGTCCTATCCCTTAGTTGGGAATCAAGGACAGTGAATTTGTATTTGTATACCACCACACTATGATCTTATTAACATCATTATTCTTGAACTGGTGTAAAAAACTTATTGCAAGCTGGAAATAATCAAATTCTTGAGTTTTCTCATCTGGAAGTTCTCATATGCGACTGTAGTACCCAATGGCATATCATTTACCTTTCGGGAAATTTATGAACTTATTACCATGAGGCATGAGAGCAAGATTATGCAGTAAGCTATCTAAAAATATCACAAAGTAATTTGAATAAGAAGATTAATAATAGTAGAGGAGATTTTTAATTCTTTGGACACTTTGAAGGTAAGAATATCAAATATTTTATGTCATGTTCATACAGGAGTCAGAACTTCTAGTCAATATCAAGGAGCATGTCCTTGTTCCAGAGCATCAAGTTCTTACCAGTGAAGAAAAGAAGACGTTGCTTGAGCGGTATACTCTGAAAGAGACACAGGTATGTGTTGAACTGCTATAATTGAAACAATTCTCCACGTGAATTATTTGTTTCATTCGTATGCCTAGTGTGTTAGTTGCTCCAAACTGCGTGTTAATAGCCATCAAACCATTGGAAGCAGTGGTTGGGTTAGACTGGTCGAATCGGACTGGTTGACTGGTCGGATTGTGTTCTATATAGGTTTTCATTTGAAAGTCATCTTTTATAATGCATGAACTTTGTCAATTATGTATTATGTAATTCCTTCTATTTTGAAGGCCATGATTTTATAATAGAGAAATTTATGTATGGATACTATTTCCACCCCTTTATTACCTAATGGGAACATTTTGTTAAAATTACAATAAGCATCCCCCCCTCAGTGGCCCTTTTTTCTTCCGCAACTGCCCACCTGTCCAGCAGTGACAACACTGGACATGAAGGAAATGACACATGTTTAAATAGAACACATACATTGTGTTCCCCTGGGAGCACACTGTGCTTCTACTCCTTTGGTCAAAACACCTAGCTATGTTGATTTTTTTAGTCTAAAATTTTGGGAACCATATAGCAATTACAAGATTATTTTTAAAAGAAAAAAATCGAATTTAGTTTTGTGACACTTAGATCTAGCCCTTCAAAAATTGGACGATCTCTAGTCAATCTGGATGCAAGACAAGATGTGTCTCATTATTGAGATTTTTGTATTAAATTTTAATGATGTATTTTTGGAATTTTCAAGGGTTATTTTTTAGGGGTTTTAAGTTCTTTTAGGGATCAGTTGTCCAAAACAAAGAGAGGTTTGGCATAGAAAACATCAGTTCTCCAAAAAAAAAAAAAGGGGCAAATCCCCGTAAGTACTGAGGGCTTTGTGCCTTGTTATAATGAGGGTGAAGATGTGGAGTATTCAAATTTTAATGCTCAAATGACCAAGTTGTCTTGAATTTAATGCTCAAATGCCCTAGTTATACCTATCTTTGTTACCTGCAAGAGACATTAGAATCATACATGTTGAGCATCTCTTAACTATAAACATTTGCATTTGAACTTACCCAAAAAAAAAAAACATTTGCATTTGAAAGTTGATTCGAGTTCCAAATACTCCAGCACTGCATTTATTGGATTACCTATTTGGAGCTCCTATAAACCATGGGAAACAATGTCCTCCAATTAGGTTCCAAATAACTGAAATCAGAATCCATAAATATTTGAGGTGAGATTGTGGATACAACAAATCACAGATTTGTGCACCTATAAACAATAGTACACGATTTCGTGGAATCAAGATTCCAAAATAGTTCGAATTGAGATTCTATGGAAGTCGAAGCAATATTCCATGTTGATTGAATCGCAATTCCTTACACCTATGAACCAAGATACTTGATGTTGCGGATTCTCGATTAAAAACCCAAACAAATCGAGATTCATTACATGTGGAATCGGGAATCAATAGATGTGGAATCAAGATTTAATAGATGTTGGAATCGAGATTCAAAAATTGGGACTGAGATTCCATAAATAATGGGATCGAGATTCCAAAAAGGTTTTAAACAAGATTCCTGAATTAAGGAATTGAGATTTCTGAGTTCTAGGAAATGGGTTATGTGAAGATTCGTTGTTGGAATTACAAAATTGAGTTCCGATCCAGAATCGCGACCTCGGCAGAGAGATTCTGGTAGCTATGGTTTGGCCCATATTGTTCTATAGGTTGGTCGGCCCATATACATATATATTTCAAGCCGGATTGACCCCATACCATTGTCGGGTTGAATTTGTTGGTCCTTGGGTCGACCATAATTGACCATAATTGATTTGCATCCCTAGCTGGATATGTCCCAAACCTAAAAATGGCTTTGGGGTATGGGTGTTTGGGTTAGAGAGTGGGGGCAAACAAAATCATCGAACTTGGCACTTCATTTTTTATTTTGGTCACATAGTTTAATGAACCATTTTCTTTAGAGGAATAAACGATGAATCCCAGTGCGATGTCATGCTTTTGTTGTACTTAGATTACAGCTTATGCGAAGAAGCTTTGGACGGGGACTATTGATCTAATGCTTGTTGGTTTATAGCCTCTATCATGCTGTCCTTTCCTAAGCATTTTCTTTCTCATTAGCAGGATTGAAATTCTGTGGGACTGTGGTTTAGTGTGGAACCACTAAAGATTGTGGGTCTTCTTGTTGGTGGTTAAGCACATAATGCTGTTCTTAGTTGTCAGGACTGCACTAGTCATTGAGAGGAAAATGTGGCTGGTCCCCATCCACCATAGCTTTAGGATTGCAGGACAGTAAGAAAATAAAAAGAAAAAAACATTAGGAAAATGCAGAAAGCTATTTAAGTATTTCAAGACCAAAAGAAGAAACCCATTTCGAATTTGTTCTCTGGTTTTTAACTTGTAGCTTTTCATTGTTTTCGGAACTTTTGGAGTTAATCTTGACCAGTAATGTATCATTAGCCTAAATGAGAACCTAACTCATGTGGCTATTTATGCAGTTTACACTAATATAGCATTCTTGAACTTCAAGGTCCATTTGGACTGCTTAATATCTCTAGGAAAGGGAGTTGTTTATAAATGGGGAAAACTTTCCAGTAGAAAAGAATGTTTGAATTGCTCCCTAGATATCTTTTAGCGGCATCATGCTCTTAGGTTCCAATATATGAATACCTTTTCTATGTTCATAGTAATCTACCGTGAATCTCATGCTTGTAAACGCTTTTGCTGTGGATGATATGTTCTACATTCACTATCCGCATTACATTTAGCTTAATGATATTGCTTTTTTTTATCTGGTCTAGATAGATCTAATTATTGCTGATTTTTGCTTTTGATAGAACTCTCATTCTGCCTTTGAATTGGATCATGACCACGACTATTTATTTGTAATTTCCCTGTGATCGCTTATTTGATTTTTCCCTATGCTTTTCAGCTTCCACGGATTCAAATAACTGACCCGATTGCCAGATACTATGGTCTGAAGCGTGGTCAAGTTGTGAAGATCATTCGACCCAGTGAGACTGCTGGAAGATATGTCACCTATCGTTATGTTGTGTAACTCTCTCGAGCACAAGAGAAGATATTCCTGTATCTGTATGACTGTTGAGGATATTTATAGGGAAGGTTGAGAGTTCTGGACCCTAGAAAGATGGGGTTGTGGACCATGTATCATTGAAGGCTTGACCGATGGTGTAGTGCAGATCAATTGGTGAGAGTGAGGCAGCGTATGGGTTAGGGAAAAGTTCTGATTTTATGCTTTCAGAGAACTGAAGTTTTGTTTGCTCTGAGAACCTCAGTTGCTCTGAAATAGCTGAGAAAATTCAGACGCTTTGATTATATTTATGCCGAATAGGTTTGTGATATGGGCTGGAAGTTTCAATTATTGGGAGTTTAAATTTGTGGTAAGCGGTTGATTAAACTATATTAAGAGGACAAAACAAATAGAGTTGTCTGAAACCAGCGAAGGAGGGTCAAAATTTCAAGGACTCTTGTCCATTTTCCTTCTTGAAGTATTTGTGTTAATAAAGTACTCCTCTCATTATCGAAATTCATTTTTTCTATTTTCTCAGTAATAACTTGGTATATGGCAAAGTTTTGGGATTTTTTAGTATCTCCTTGAAGTATATAAAGAGGAAAAGCATACGACCATTTACTTTTAGTACGAGGAGGAGGGAACAATCACTCTTGTCCATTAGATTTTTAATTGGGCGGTTGTGAGTGTTTTTTAATATATTAAAAGTTTAAAGAATATTTTTTTGAACTTGATGATACAATTTAAGTCATCTAATATGACATCTAATGATTTGGAGTAATTGTGGTCTCCATGTATAAAAAAAAAATGGTTTTATGTATAATCTTTGTTTTTTAAAGGGTGCGGTTTGCATAGAGCTGAGGCTCTAACAATCAAAGTACAGCCCACTTTCAAATAATGTTGAGAAATATTCAAAATGTTAGAAATCGTTGAGATAACCTTAAAATATTTTTTTGTATTTGATTATAAAATTAAAAGCTAAAAAAATATCCGTAGATCGAGCAGATAAATGAAATCTTGAAAATCTTGAAAAATGACGGTTCAAAAATGTGCTGCAAGATGTACTATTTCAAAAACTTGAAATCCATTTTTTTCTCATGTTCATGCATCTTGATGTCTAGATGATCAATTTGAAGATATTTGGGTATCAAAACAATCTCTTTTAATGAAATTTTTGTGGTGGGTTGTTTAGAGCCTTGGCTCTATATAAGCCTTTCCTTTTTTTAAATGTCTCTACTTGAAGTCAAATTGTTTGTATTTTTGTCATTAGGTGATTTCATTCCTCATAATGCCATAAAAATGACAGGATTTTCTATTTCATTTAATTTTCCTTTGGACATTTAGAATATGTAGAGAAAAAATGTCAATTGAATGATTAAATCACCTTGCAAAATCTTGAACGGGGTAAAATCATCCTTAAGATGGTCATTTTTTGAGTTTCGTTTTACCCGAGTATTTAATTGAAAATACGTTAAAACAGAGAGGAAAGAAAGTCTATATTTTTATTGTTTATAACTGGGAGCTGAAAACATGTAGGGCATTTTAGTAATATGGCTCACTTGGTGGCTCGGGCTAAATGATGTGAATGTCTTAGCTGTTTACGTTTGGGCCCTTCTCTACTTGGGCTCTTGGTCAGGTGGCCTTGCCCAGGATGGGGTTGGGCTGGGCTTACTATAAATTAAATATATTTTTTAAATTCATTAAAAAAAAAAAGTGTCAGGCTGGGTCGGCATGCACTTTGATTGCCCTACACACATTCGTGATTTTCATACGCCCTATATAGAATACTCAATTCTTATAGAGAGCATTCTCTACTTCCACACTCATGTAGACGAATTTATGGGGGTTGTTCTGCAGGGCAACACCCTAGTTTTTACTTTACATTATGGGGTTGTTCTGTAGGGCAACACCCTAGTTTTTACTTTACATTATTTAGGCAAATGGATGCATTAGGAGTACCATTCAACCTCTTCATTTATTGCAATAAATTGTACCACATTGTGAGAAATAAGGCATAAAACTACAAATTTTCATCAAGGAGTATCATGGTACATACATGTATCATACATCACATAAGGGACTTGTTTTCCCTTTCGAACTTGGACTTCATAGCTTGTCCTTAAGTAGGGTTTTCATCCATGGCTCTAGTTATCTTCTAGATTTGGTCCCTTATAAGATTTTTATTAAAGGATTTTACCAAGTTTTGTTAGATATGACATGGAATATAAATATCTCAAGCGAATATGTCTGGATTTTCATACCTGCATTGAGATGGCAGCTATGAGCTTTTGCACAAGTGGTATGTCTACCAGTAAGTTTTTTATCCAATCAAACTAGTGGCTTCCAAATCCTTAAAATAATGTATCATGTAACAAGGTATCTACACCGTCTATTTTCAAGATTTTAACGATTTGCTAGATCTACATTGTTTTTGAAATATTAAATTTCATAATTAGGATTGAACATGAAATTTCAAACTATCGTAAAGTTTTCGACACAAAACTACATCTCTTGAAAAAATTTAGATGTACCTTATTTACATAATATAAAATAGGCACATTATACAAACGTTAATCAATTTTTCATAGTTGCACTATTCCTTAAAAACACTATTAACCGTGGACCCTACATAGAGCATCACATAGAGTGGGACTTGCTTATAGAGTCACACCATTCCCAAATTATGCAATGAAATAGTTCTATTCCACAATAATAGGGCATTATTCCTTTGTATACTTTATTCAAACAAGGTTCTCACACGTAAAGTAGAGCATCAGATCATATTCGAAGGCAATGTATCCTCCTCCAAAAATCATGCCGCTGTGTTTTCCAGCATACAGATAGTGGGTGGCTAAATGGATAGCAAATTAAAGAGTAATTTATGCTCATATCTTTTTAAATTCACGTTATTTAAGTTATTTAAGAAAGAGTATGGTTTTTTTTTATGAGGGCTAGCCCACTTGCCTCCATAAAACCTCTGCAATATTCGTGGAGGTTTCATGCCGGGATATAGCCAGTTCACCTAAGACTACTTACCTTGAAGAAATTCTAAAATTTTGTACATTATTACATTTGTCTCCAATTTTTTTGCCTTTTTTCTTAAACGATGACATGAGCCCTCTTTCGGATCTTGAAGGTGTGACTATTAACCTTTGTAGTAAAACACTTGGAGTAATTATAAGGCTTAAAAATACTTTGGTTTTTGAAAATACAAAGTTCTCTAAACTTTGGATTGTAAAAATCCGAAGTTTTCTTTGCATCCAGAATCTAGCCAGTCTGACGAAAGAGAATTTCTAGAATGAACTTTGGATTTTAAAAATCCCAAGTTTTTTAAATTTCATATCGTAACAATCCGAATTTTTTTCTTGCATCCAAAATTTCGGATGCTACTCATCGAAAATTGGAATTCAAGCATCGGAAAACCTTGACATTGATCATCTCGGCTTGAACATTATGATTGTAAAAAAAATAGGATTTCGAGCTCTAAAAATAACATACATTGCAACAAATTATCTAGAGTATCAATTTCTCCCTAAAAACAATAGTTCAAAGGTCCACAAGATTTGTACTATTTTTTGAGTTTCAAATTTCATTGCATTGCTGAAAATTGATTTTAGAGCCAGCATGGAGATTTTTGTTGGCGAAAGTGCTTTCTGGGCGAGGATTTGAGGTGTGACCTTATTTTGTTTTCTAATAGAATTTGTGGGGCCAATGATGTATATCAATATGAACCCGAAATATCCATATCCTAACACTCTTCTTCAAACTCAATATGCTTTGATACAAACTAAAGCCTCATTCTCATATTGCACTTCCTTAAAGTGATCGTTGATGATTGTAACAACGTCTTGAAAATTTTAACCTCTTCGTCGATATGATCATTAAACCCTTTCTTAGCGTTTCATACACACAACGGCCCTTCTCTGTTGAAGAGAGAGAAACTTTCAAAGCAAAAACGAATAACCTAGATTTTACAATATTACTTCTAACAAAAATGAAAAACATAGATTTTGCAACATTTCTTATATGAAAGTAAGGTTGTAATGTTATGTAAACCGGACCTATATGAAAGTAAGGTTGTAATGTTATGTAAACCGGACCTATATGCATGTCCACTCGAAGGGGTTTATGTAATAATTTTCATGGGAGAATGAGAAGTAAGAAGTAAAAAGTACGTAAATTTTGTCACGAGTTTCATTTTTCTTTTTTCTCGTCGTATAGCGCGCCCTCAGTTCTCTCTAATTCGCTTACGGGAATTCTTGTTCAATGTCGCGACGACTGCTTATCAACATCATATAAACACGCAACTCCTGTTCTTCCTTGATCTTACTGTCTGAACGTTTTGTTAGCATTTGCAAAGAACAATTTAATCAATTCAATTGAAGAAAAAACAAAATAACAGGAAAGAAATTAAACAGTTCAATTCGATTGATTTGAATCGATCAGAGTTGAAAATGGAGGGAGGAGGAAGTCGTCCCAAAATCCTTGTGACCAACGACGATGGCATCTACGCCCCTGGCATTCGATCTCTCATCCATGTCCTCGTCTCCACCAATCGCTACCATGTTCTCGTCTGCGCTCCTGATCAGTACAAATCTCTCTCTTTCTGCTGTGCTGCTTTATTTGATTGAATTGTTTTGGGTTCTTTTCTTGTTTTCGGCGACGGAAATTTCAGGCCAGGACTGTGCATAACACTTATTCTCCCTCTTATATTCTTTTATATTCGAAACCCCTCATTTTTTGAATAACGGGATTGTGTGTAATGGAATTTCCACCATTCAGGGAAAGATCTGCTGTCAGTCACTGTATCACTGCTCGTGGCGCGCTTCAAGTTACTCCTGTTGAAATTGAAGGGGCAATTGCCTATGGTACCTCAGGTTTGCGCTTTATCCTTGAAGGTTTTGTGCTCGCTGTTGTTTCCATTATATTGCAGGTTAACTATATGTGGGTTTTTGTATTTTGGAAGATTTTGAGTACTTGATGTTCAACTATCATGATTTTATCCTGATTTGTGGAGGTGGTTTATTTTAGTCCTCATTTTCTCTTGCACAAGTGGATGTTGGGACTTGAGAGAGATTTATTTCATGTCATTACGCTTAGAGATGCTTAGAGATGCGTAATGTGTTGAAAGTTGGTACACATCTCATTTTACTGGATAATCCCTTAATTGTGTTTGGAATGTGTCTGTAAGCTTAAGCTCAAGTAAAAGCAAACTCACTTGTAAGTTCAGCTCATTTTTGTTTGGTTGCATGCTTAATCATGATGTAATAACGGAATGCCTTGTGTTGATTAGTTTAGAGTATTCCATGAAAAGTTTGAATCAGTGTTTCGAGACTTGGCCGAGTTACTTGGCCTTCCCTATGGGCGAGGCTGAGTTGCCCCAAGTTTTATCTACAAATAGGGGAACAAAAAAATTGAATTAAATCCCAAAAAATATAGAAAAATATGGGATTGTTGTATAGAATGTTTCTATATGATTTGGATCTCTATTGGCGAAGATTGATGAGATTTTTTTTTTTTTTTGCCATATTTCCTTTTTTCTAATTTTCTTATTTTGGATTTTTTAAAAAATGCCCCCAATAAATCATAATTTTAAAATCTATTTTTATGTACCTTTTAAAGCTTATTTGGATTTTTGAGGTTGCTGTTGGTTTTATTTAACCTTTACTTCTTTTATTTTAGTTTTTAATATTTTATCTGATTTTGCTTTTTGATTTTTCCAAGGGCTTTTGGTGGGCGAGTCCACTCAGACTTCACTGAGTAACTCACCTTGGCCAGAGCTGAATGCCTGGCCCGAGGTGAGTTTTGAAACACTGTTTTGAATATTTGTGCAAACAGTAATTCTGATTCATTGTACTGTTGGAGGCATGAAAATCGTCCCCTGTGAATGACATGGAGAGCATCTACAGACCTATATCTATTGGTGATTACAGTTACTTCAAGTTTTAATGCTTTGGTTTTTGCTTTCATTTTGAGTTTTTTAACAGTTTTTCCTTTACATGCTTGTTGAAACTTATTTATCCAAAATGCATTACTTGGATTTCATGATTTTAAGATGAACTGTTGTTTCTTTAGAGGCAGAGATGATCTTGTATTCCTATATCTAATATTTGTTGGTTTAGGCCATTTAATTCATCATCTAGTTACTTCGATTTACTACTTCTGATGTAATAAACACATTAATGTTTTCAGTTGCCTCAGTTCTTATTAATCGGTAAAGTCATATATTTAGACTAAATTTCCATTCCCAAATGAATGGGCTTGGCCATTTATGATTACTTGTAGCAGAGAAATCGGTGGAGATTTTTGTATGGAACCTGACTTGTCTTAACTTCTCAAATGTTTCATTGCTTTTGTCACTAGTTATTTTGTTTCCTGTTTTAGGAACTCCAGCAGATTGTGCTTCTCTGGGTCTATCCGGAATCCTCTTTCCTGGAACAATCCCTGATTTGGTATCCTCTTAGACTCCTGCATCAGATTACTTACTATACAATTCTCAAGTTTTATAATTTAGCAATAATGAAGAGCATGTAATATGAGACCATTACATATACCTCAAATTTTTGAGTTTAAAAAATAACAGCAGTTGTGCGCACTTCACGCCTCTCCCTTCTCTGTCTGCCACCTTGAGTATATATGTCTCCATTTATATGTACTCTTATGAATAGAAATGATGTATAGTACCTCGTATGTCTTAAGACGTGGTTAATTATGAAAAAGATTATAAAATTGCATATGGATAGTCCTTAGGTTTCATAGTACTACGTCTGGTTAATTAATTTATGTTTTGAGTGTATATTTCTCTGTTTGTCCTTCCTGTTTGACTGCTTAATTATGCATTGGTGGTATTGTTATTGATTACTTCAATTCTATGAGATTTGTTACATTTTTTGAGTTCCTATTGTCTTCATGTGTTCCATTACAGGTTGTTAGTGGCATTAACAAGGGATCGAATTGTGGATACCACATGTAAGTAATCTTTGTTTTTTGATAAGCATATCACATGTGATTAATATGATTTATCATCATCTTTCTCTGGTAATGGCTTGGAGAGCATCAAAAGAGTACAGCCTTATTTGACACCATAGTGCTGCTGTAATTATGAAACAGCTACTTTTTGTGAATTTCATTTACTTGTCTTCTAAGAAAATGTCCTATGGGATTTCATACAGTTAAATATTTTATATTGTAGACATCAATTATGCGCAACGTCGACCTAGAATAACACTAGTTGTGGTGGTGTCTAAAATGGCAAGGGGAAGGCCTAGAGGACATGAATGGGAGTAGTGAAAAAAGATATGGTGCTTTATGGTATGACTGAGGGTATGACCCTTGATAGAGAATAATGACGGGACAAGATTCATATGGCTGACCCTAAATAGTTGGGATAAGGCTCATATAATGATGATGGCGATAAAGATTAATTATGCTCTGTTAGATTTACAATTACTTATCAGGTCAATTTTGCAGTTTATTAATTGAGAGAAAACCTATGGGCAGTTGCTGACTTTCAGTGCTTAGTTTCCTTTCTTTGTGTTGATATATGGTTATCATGTCTTGTATTGGATGGTTCAGTGTAGAAAGCAAGATACAGCATGAATAGATGCTCTCTATTTATTACAGTTTGGGTGTACAACCAATTGGGATGAAGAGAAAAACTCCATCATACAAGCTTTTACTTTTTCTCCAAAGCAGGATATCTGCAATCCTAGTCCACGTGTTCCATTATGAAACTAGATGAGTGAAATCTTGTCTAGCTTCATCAAGTCAGTACATTCCAGCTAAGGTTCTTGTGATAAGTATAGGAAAATATATCAAGTTATCAAGAACTTCCATGTTAAGTCAATTATATGTATTTTGGGTAATATACTCATAATCTCTTATTAGGTCTAAGAAGGGTGAGGACCTTAAAAATTTCCCTTAACCCGTCTCAAGCCTGGGTAAAGGTGGACGGTTGTGTTAGGTAGGACCTGAATCTATGTTATCTACTTATGCTAGGGTGCTCCTCGTAAGTGATGCGATGCACTGGAGCCTCACTGAGGGTATGACCCTTGATAGAGCAGAATGGTAGACCAAGATTCTTGTAGCCGACCCCAAATAGTTGAAAAAAGCTCTAATGATGATGATGACTCATAATCTCTTATCACTTTCTTGGGCTTTCAAGGATAAGTAGTGCTGTTTTTAGTGTAAATGTATTTCAAGCATTTGGACTCTGTTTCTGTCTTTCTTCTTTATGTTGTCAACATGGATCTTTAGATTGTTAAGGCAATGCTATTTGTCTTTGAGCATAATGGGTTCAAATAATGTCACATTCAATGCATTATAGAAATTTATATTTGTAGATTTACTATATTTTACAAGAATGAAGTATTTTTTTTTTTCAGAACACGCAACTAAGACAAAAAGATAACTCTTGGGTAAGTAATGTCTTGTTCTTTGAGTGTTTGGTTACTAATAAGTTTATTGTTTTGATTTGGTTTTTGAAAAGGATTGTATATTATGAGACCATTTATCTTGTTCCAAGGAGGTCATAATTACTCCTAGCCACTAAACGTCAAATTGGATAGCTTGAGGTGTGTCATGAAGTTGGAGAATTTACTTTTAACTAACTTTGAGTCTGATCAATGATACACCTACAACCACCTAATTTCAAATCTGACGAACATCAATGATTGTGACCTACTTGAACTAAAAAAAAATAGTCATAGGTGGCGGGGTGCAATAAGATGACATCTTTGGTTCCATTCCTTCTAGGTCCCAATTTAACATTCAGAAAAAAGGAATAAAAAAGTTTGTGATGGTATGTTGTTGGTGGAATATTGTTCTGATGCAGTGAACAAATCACAATATGTTGGAGCTCAGAGGTAGAATTTGCCTATGGTGGGGAATAAAGTGTATTTCTGGAAAGTTACTCAAGGCTGTATAATAAGGCTGTAGAGGTTGGTTTCGTCTAGTGTTTGTTCAAATCGGAGGATGCAAATGATGTCCTGCCGGCATTACAATGATGTGGCCATTGTTTTTTGAAAATATAGATCAAGCATTTGACCCAAATATTTAATCTTTCGATTTAAGGGTGCTAAGGCAAAATGTTTTTGAAAAGAGTAAAAAAGAGCAAATTGATGCTTAATCTTTTGATTTTAAGGGTGTTGTGGCACAATATTTTTGAAAAGAGCAAAGTGATGGGCTTGAAGTTAGAGTTGAGGAAGAACCTGGTCAAGATGTAGCCTGTGCGATCACTGGGGCCACATACATACTAACTTTGACTTCATTAAGCCCTCGCCTTGTGTTTGTAAAAAGGACTATCTTTGGAAACCCTTCCTAGAAAGTGTTGGGTAGGTGTTGGATGGAAAATATGTGGTTGCTTGTGAAAAACACTTATGTCGAAAAATTGGCTTTAATTTAACCATAGTTGCGGGAACGTTGGGGGTAAGGCCACGCTCCTACCTTAGGAAGTTGATCCCGCAGTTCCTCTAAGGGATCGTAGAGGGAGCTGGGTTTAGAGAAATAGGGATCTCGCTCCCTATAAAATGGGATTGCGGTCTGCATGCTTGTAGGATCTCTCCAAGGAGAGGAGCTATACTATTAATTAAACTGCTGCTCCTCTCATTAGTAGTACAAATTGATTGCTTTAAAATATGTTAAATTGTGGTGTATATCACATGTGGTATATTATAATTATGATATTGAAAACTACAGTTTAATATTGTATTAAGCAAATTTGTGATATTATTAAACTAACTCCACCATGGTCAGTCAACCGGGTCATGCCGGTCCCAAGCCCGAATAAAGGAGGAGGGTTATGCTAAGTAGGGCAGCCAGGGAAAAACTTTGTCACATTGAGTAAATTGTTTTGTTCTAGTAAATTGGAGTACAATAACTATGGCATTAGTAATAAGCTAAGGTGTATGATAATAGATAGAGCGGGCATTGGGTCGATCTTAATTTTATATACTATTAATTAATCTCATTTTATGTATAGTCGAGCTTTGATCCCTCTAGGTCAAAACCTCGATCCTAGTGGCATGGGATCTCTCTCTCAGGTATCTTAGGATCTAGCCACTTGTTGAATATACGGGTGTTGATCCTAATCCCAGGGGGTTTCCACCCTATGGCAGCTCGGTGTTCTCCAACTGATCTTGACCCCGAACCTGCTCCCGCCACTAACAACTATGAATTTAGCTAGAGCAAGATGAAGGAGAAATAAGACAAGAGTGTTCAACTATTCATGGAGGCTAAAAATATAGGAAAATACATGGAAAGAGACAATGCCATCTCCAAATAAAAAAGGAAAGCTTGTCATGGTGCCAACCTACATTAAATAGTTCAAGATCTTAAGCATAATTGTTTAAATAATTTTCTTTTTGAGGGGGCTTTGTGGGGTGGGTATGGGAGAGAGGGGGGATAAATAAGGATTGATGTAGTTGGTGATTCTTAAAGAAGCTCATACTAACTTTAGAGGGGTGTATTTAATAAGGTTTATTAGGACAAAATAAGAATATGACCTCTTAAAGAGGTAGTTTGGGGCATTGGAAGGGTGGATATAGTACATGGGCATTGGATTGGTGAATGGAATTGTAAATAAAATTTGTTGAAGGAAGTTGTATATAATAAATATTTGTATTAGAGATTTGAATTATGCGATTATGGATGTAGCATAAATATCTGTTCTAAGGTTTGTAAGGCTTTTGGACTATTAATTGAATGAATATACGTCCTTGGCATAAATATTTGTTTGAAGGCTTGTAAGAAAAACTATTTGTGGTTGGTAAAGGATTTGATGTCAAAATGATTAGTCCTATACTATTGGCTATCTTGTTTCTATAGAAAACTTGCTTTCGTAGAAGAGTAAGAAACATAATATTGGTTTGTTGTAAATCTGAATTGGAGAACCATTGTATGACATTCACAAGAAAGCTCATCTGAAGATGTACTTCACGACTGGCTTAAAATTTTCTGCTTGAGTTTAACAAGCTATGATCATGTTATATGATAATTGAAGTGCAGTTTATATTTCCAGAAACTTCAGTTTCCACTAGTCCGATTTGCAGTTTGGTGAAAAATTTGTCCCAGACTTATGTTGTCATGTCTAAAGAGCTAATAAATGTTTTCACCAAAATAATGGTTCTGAAGCCGTTGCACTAAAGCACATCTGTCTTCTTGCTATACGGTTCAACTAATTCATATACAAGTTAGGATTGATTGATACCCATGATTGGGCTTGCACTGGAGTTTGAAGAGGCATGAACTGTTCGTACGGTACCTCTCATATTGTATTAGGAATCATGTCCTGGTGCATTCTTATATCATTTTGTATAACAATGTTTCTATTATTTGTTACCTTCTTGTTTTAAAGTTATCTAATGACTCTTTGAGCTACTTCAGTTTTTAATGGGACCTATGCTCTGTATTCTCCATTCCTCATTCTTGTCCACTGGCATCAATCCCTGTCATATGGTGGTGTAAACTAGAAGATGACATTTTATGGATATTGCGTAATGGGCAGTGTAGTTAATCAAATAAAGGTTTTCCTTGTTAGTTATTTAGAATGTTAAGGCTGACCATTGTTTCAGTGAAGCAAATAGGTTCTCTTAGTAATTTGTGGGTGGTGTGGACGGTTACGACTGGGATTTTGTGTCTTCTTTATCATTGTATCTCTTGGCCATGTATTGCAATATTCATTGTACTGTTTTGGTTTAGTATTCTTCTGATTTTGTTGTCTTGGAGAATGTATTATGGGGGAGTGGATGGTTTATTTGGTCAGTTCAAGTTCTAGTGGAAATCAAAGTAAGTTCTGTAATTTGTTTTTGCACCTGTGGAATTCCATCACTTATTAATTTGTTTTTTGTTTTGTTTGCGAGTGTGCAGTGTATACTCTGGGACTGTAGCTGGTGCACGGGAGGCATTTATGTATGGCTTCCATTCTTTATCCATTTCATACAACTGGTATGTGGAAATTATTTCAATAAGAAGGTTTTAGTCATTGTAGCCTCTATGTTTTTTTCTGTTATCTTGTGTGTGAAATTGTGAAACCCAACATGGTAAGTGAGCTTCCATTAATGTGCTATACTAGTTCTGTAATATCGTAGCAACAGGGTGTATGAATTTTGTACAATCATTTACAGAATTGCTGTATTAATTTATGAGTAGGGTTACCAAAGTGATCTGTATTGTTGCCAATGTTGAATGTTCGTGATGCTATTATAACATAAGGCAATAGCCTATTCTTCTAATTTAGCTGTTGGATATTAAAATGTGTCCCGTAGCAATTGACTGTACTAAAATTATGAAAGTCATAAATAATGAATATAAGTACAAGGAAAACAAGAAACGAGAAATGAATTTATGGAGCCAGAGCTTTAGGAGCTGTACGGCTTATCACTTCTCTAACTTGTGGTACTTATCAAAGGGGCCCAGCTTTTCCTTTATGGAGAGCAGTATAAGTTTTTTATGTGTTCTGCAAATGATCTTTTGTGAATGATTCCAAAGGTGAATTTTTTCCCCCACTAATGCCAAGTTCTCATTGAAAACATGAAGTAGTGGATTTGGTCATAAGGGGAAAATGCTTGTTATGATTTATTGTTTGAGTTATCATGACTCTTGTTAGGGAGTTCCGCAACCTCTTTTTGGCTGCTTTTCATGGAAAGGGCATACTATATTAATTATAATGTGTGAATGGATAATCTGATTACAAACTTGGCCTCCTAGGTGTTTATAGAGATAGGCCACACAAATAATTCAAGTGAAGATGCTTTCTTTTTCTTCTTTTCTCTCTTGGTTTATATGTCTGGCTTTACAAATGTGCAAACTGCAGCTTCCCTTTTTCCTGGCTGCTTTGTCTTCTTCTTCTTCTCCTAACCTCTTTGTTTTTTGTTTGGCTGCCATGAGCAACAACCTCTCTCTCTCACACTGCTACCCTCTTTTTGTTTTACTTCTAAGTTCTCTCTCCTATATCTTTTTTCTTTTCTTCTTTCCTGCCTTAGTAACTTGTTTTTACTCTCTCTAGTGTTTTTCCTTGTTACTTGTCCTCCTTTGTTTCTTCTGTTCTTTTCTTTTATGTCTTTATGCACCCGCTCTTTCTTTCTTCTCTCCTTTGTTTTTTTTTACCCCAGTTTTTTTTCTTGCAAGCACACCAAGGAGCTTTCTTATTTCTAACTTATCCTTCTCAGGTTTTCCTTTTTTTTTTGTTTCTTGTGTTTCTTCTTCTTGCTGCCAACAAAAAATGCATTACTTTTCTTGTTTCACTTTTTTTCCCTTTGCCTATTTTATGCACTATTTTCCAAATAAACAATATTATACAATAAAAAATTGAAAATATAAAAGATTTAATCGGTATTTTTGGTTGGACAAGTGACAAGGCATTGAGCATTTATTAAAAAGAAAAATGCAACAAACAAAATGCTAAAATCTGATACCATGTTGATTGAGAAAAATTATCAAGATAAATATGAAACAACTTATTCAAAGAAGGAAATGAGAAATCAACAGATCAGTTTGCAGTTGGAAAACTTAGGCTCTCGATATGTCTTGGGGTGCTTGCATCTCACCTCCTCACGATGTAAAACACAAGGACCTTACAAGTTTCACAACACAGAATGCTTAGTTGCAGGACTAAATCCACAATGTGCAACATCAGTTGCAGATTAGAATACTAATCCATGATAAGAATGTAAAAGATGAAACATGCCGAGGGGTGAAGAAAGATGTTGAGTCTCGTTCATTGTCACAAGGTTAAGCAAATTTGGACATGGAAATTCAGGAGGTAAAGGTCTGCAATCTTTTGATATCTAGTTTGCTTACTTTTTAGATGTGTTTACATTATCTATCTGTGGCCTATACATTATAAATGTTCACTTCTGCAAAAGTTTTTGGTGGGTAGTGTAGAGTTGTCATGTTACTGGGATAGAGATTGTTTAAATTGTTTGTGGGACCTAATTTTTATGTTTCTTAATGTCTATTATATTACGATTTTTTTCGATCGTAAAATTTAGTATTTTGGAAAGAGATGAAGTTTTGGTTATTTAATCACTGATTCAATACCGCAATATTCAGGGTAAGAGGCAAGAGCTTAGAAAATGACTTCAAGATTGGTGCAGAGGCTTGTTTACCGATCATTGATGGAATCTTGATGGAGATAAAAAATGAAGGTTATGCTCGTGGTTGTTTTCTTAATGTGGATCTTCCGACAGATGTTGCTCATCATAAGGTGATTATGGAGCTGATGTTTGAGTTTTTGAGTTTTAGAGGTTGATAGTTTCATCGTAAGTTTTAAGTTTCTACTATATGAAATTACATAATTTTATCACAGACGCAAACATCGAAGTTTAAAAACTCAAACTATGTTTGGGACTTGACCTAGTCAGAGTCGCATTGACTTGTTGTCTCTTTTGAAACTTGGATATCCAAAGAAATACCTAATTTCATGGAAGTAATTATTTTTGGATAACTTGTCGTGGAATTGTTGAAGCACAACTAATTCACGGACCTTAGTCTTAGAGAGAGCTACATTGTAATTTCTAATGACAACTTTCACATAAAAACCCCATCATTCTATGGTTTGATCAAATCGAATCTGTATGTAGTCGGTATTTTCAATTCTAGGTATGGGATTCACCTTTGGATCCCTATATATTTGTATTTTTGTTGAAATCTTCAGTTTATTTGGAGACTATCAAGTTTATCTCTAATTTGGAGTTTATATTTGTTATGATACCTGAATTTGGGTTCTATACATGTCAAATTCCTACGTTCTCTTGTGTGGCGTACATATTTTATGCAGGTTGGTTCTTCTCTTTGTGTTAATATAAACACTTAATACTGTCATACATTGTTATCAACATGAAGCATCTTATATTTATCGACGACATGCATTATTAATGATGATACTTGGAATTCTTATAATCTTTCTTATCTATCAATAGGGTTATAAGGTGACCAGACAAGGGACATCTATGATTAGAACTACATGGGAGCAAATCACCTCCGATGGTAATTGCCATGGAGCTGTTTTGATGGACCACAAATTTGGAGTGGAACATGATCAGGTAACCACGGAAACATGGAATTCAGTATATTTACACCTCCTTTGCATATAGCGCATTTCAAGTGAACCCAGAATATCAAATATCCGCAAAAGAGGACACAAAATCTCTATTTATGATTGATGCTTTCCTATTCAGGTTCCACTTCAGCGAATGGCTTCGGGAATAGAGAATGTCAAGATTGGTTCAATTGGTGAGCCTTCAAAAGAAAACTTACTATTCAAGAGAGAGGTGACCCCTTGCTACTGCCTACTTGCTTTCATAGTTGTGATCGACTTTTGTAATCCTTTCATTATTACTTACTCTTTATCTCTCTTCTTTTACTCTACTATGGCATAAAGGTAATGTATAAGGGCATCAGACTTAGTCATTCAGAAAGATAAATTATTCTAACAAATTACCGAGAAATTAATGTTTCAGAGCGTAAGCAAAAACTAAAACAATTTGTAGGCCATGCTCTGGAATCATTTAATTAAATGACCACCTATGCTGGAATCAAAGTAGGGGCTGCCCCAACGGTGACTTGTTGTATGTTCCCCTTTCAAGACTTTTTTCAACATTCTCATCATCACCTTTTACATTCTTATTGCTAAAGTAGTTGTAAGCAGTGGTTTAAAAAACAGATCGGTGGCCCGAATCAGGCACCCCAAAAACCCATATGGATCGGTGAATCGGCGATCCGAATCGGGAATCGGCCGAATCTGTCGGATTAAGCTTTAACAAAATCTAAAAAAATTATTAAAATTCATTCTAAATGTTTTTTTTAAGGAATCCAATAAGAAATCGGGGTACTACATTATTAATTTTTATTTTTCATCAATATGTGAATATTGAGATGTTTTTTCTCTGTATGAACTTATTTTGATCATTAAATTTACATCACACAAAGAAAAATCATAGAATTATCATGGATGAAATATATTATCATACATGGATTACAATAAATAATGGTTTAAATCGATAAAAAATGGTCACCAAAATCTCGAATTGGTGGAGAACATTATATACTGAAATTGAACTTGTTGGTTTACATTTTATAATTATTTTATTATACAAATAATAACAAATCCAACCCCTTATTTTTTTACAATAAATACTTGTTTTATTACCTTTGATCTTTGTTTTTTTTTGAGAAAAACCTTTTATTTCTTATGACAATTACTTTTTATTTATTTATTTACAAGAAATGCTTGTCGTATTACTTTTTTTTTTTTTAACAAGAACCTTATATTTTTTTACAATAAACTTTTATTTTTGACAAGACAAACAAATTTTGTTGTATTACCTTTTTTATTTTATTTTTACAAGAACCTTATATTTTTTTAACAATAAGCTTTTATTTTTTGACGAGAAATTTTTTTTTTGTTGTATTACCTTTTTTTTTGTTTTTTGACAAGAACCTTATATATATATATTTTTACAAGCAATATATTTTTTTTATAAAAATAATTTATTTTTTTGTAAAAAAAAGTTATTTTGTTAAAAGGAAAAAATTTCTTTGTTTGTGAAAGAACAATGACACCTGGGCAAGAATTGATCCCGCGACGTCCATCGCACTAAAACAGCGTGCCAACCACCACGTCAAACGTTAACGTGTGATACAAAGATGCCACTTAATAATTATATCATATTTATTTCTGAGCTATTACTTAGCGCAATTGTCCCACATCAAACCACAGAAAAATTTGGTAAGGATAAACAGTCTTCTGCTACCAAAGCCAGTCGCGTGCGAAACACACGTAGCAGTGTGAGTTTGTGATGGAGGAGCATGTGCGTTTGACAATGGGTGCCCATTGTAACTCGAAAAATTACAAAAATTCCCCTTGTGACTCATGATGTCATGCGCATGCACCGAACCGGGCGAGTCATGACGTCATCCGGCGATTCACTGTACAGAATTGCCGATTTTTCTCTAGAACCAGCTGATTCCAGGTTTTACAAAAGAATCGACACTGGTTGACCGATTCCCGGTTCGAATCAGCCGATTCCGTGCCGACTCGGCTATTTTTAAAACACTGGTTGTAAGTGTTCAGAGTGATACTTCACCTATTTATGATATGATGGAAAACTTCAAGGAGATATTTGCTTTCTTTGTTTCTTTTTCAGACTTTTATCCCTTTTGTAATTGGTGTCTCATTTTTTCCCTATGACCAATTTGTTTCTAAGTATGATGATGTTTAGGAAAAGTCTGAGGGAGCTGGAGCAGGTGAATAGATGATTTTCATTAGGGGCCTACGAGTTCCCAATGGAGCATTAACTTTGGGAGTTAAACTGCTTGCTAAGTTTAAGCATCCTACAACTTGGATCTGATTGACTACAAAATGAGGCTTGGGTTTTATTGAAATCAAGATGCAATTAGACATTTGTATGTCGTTTTAAAGTCTTTATAACATTATTTAACTCATAGTAATCAAATAATTTCTAAAACATGGAGTAGATAACGTCTGATTTACGAGGGTCATCATATCAAAATTTTGGAGAAGAATTAAATGTTGTCAAACTTAAGGTTCATATGCGAACACTACAACCTTAGGTATTTTCTACTATCAAGACTCATGAGTCAAACCTTGTGACCTTTCTCCTGTAGTTCTTATATTGGGTCAAGACAATAGAGGCTGGGTTTTCATAGCACAATGTCGCAAGTTCTATTCCTATGTAGCCTTGTCAAAAAATAAAAAAAATGCACTTGTTCGGATTGTATGTAAAAGTTAGTTAAATCCATGTTAAGTAACATGATTTATAGCCTTACATTGTTAAACGTGAAGGATCTATGCTTGTATTTGGGTCTGTTGTAATTTAGTTCCTAGGTTGAAAGACTAGGCAAGATGTAGCCACATGTTGCTGTTAGTAGTTTTCTTCAAGTGTATCTCATTTGTTGTGTTTTCCTGTGAAGTTTTTTCTTTCATTAATTCGTTAATTAGCCTTTTTTTTTTAATACTTATATTTTTGTGATTACGATTGATTAATTGGTCTTGAGATTTTGACGAAAAATTAATGATTATTTCATTTTGAGAAGCATATATAAGCTATCTTAAATGTATGTAGTTTTTGTTTCATGAAATGTAGTACATACCATATATGCTATTTTGAGATGGGACTAACTTTGATGGAGCTTGGTGGATATTGTGGCCTTGAGATTTAAAAGGTTCTAATTTAATTTTGATTGATTTGAGATAAAGATTTTCTTCTGATTTGGCTTGTAATTTAAGGTTCTAATTTAATTTTGATTGATTTGAGACGAAGATTTTCTGCTGATTTGGCTTGTAATTTTCTGTGTTCTTTTACTTCTCATTCTTGTTCGTGTTCAATGTCTCAAATGGTCATAATGAAGTGTTCTCTTTGAAGAACATGAAGAGAACTGGAAAGTTTAGACTTCACTGAGGATGCGACTTGATATTTATACTAGGACAAGTGTTTCAAAAATTGTCTATCTGGATCGGGAGTGGTCAAAGACGGTGTAAATTCCTTGTTAAAATTGGCTATTCAGTCTATATAATATAATGTATATTTGCTATGTAATCTAAGCTGGATAGTTCGAGCAGAGTTAGCATGTCTCCAATTAAAACACGAGTTTTAAAAAAAATCTCCGATCTTTTGTAATCATTTTAGAACTTGAAGTTAAAAAATCTTCAAAACATCATTTTTTTTAATGGAACTGATATAAATAAAAAATCTATTAATCATATATCTTAAAATAATAGGTAAAGTTTGAGGAAGAGTAACTCAATGAAAAATCTTCTTTTCCTCTAAACTCAGAGAATCGATATAAAGAGCAAGAGATCACTGACAACTAAAAATTTAGGCAGCTAGGAATTCAGGGTGAGATACAAATATTTGGATTTGCTGAAGCATTTTGTTGCTTTCTTTCTAAACACAGAAGTTTGAATAATTTCAAATTTTCAAATTTTTTTTGTTACTTCACTAGTGTACAACAAGGCATTTTGGATGGACCACTGCATTACATTTCACTAGTGTACAACAAAGCATTTTGGATGGACCACTGCATTACATTTTTGGGTTTATGTATTTAGTTAATTTATTTTTCGTCTAACAATAATCCTATGTATTGGGGTTATAGTTTTTGTTATTTGCTAATATAGTTTTTGTATTTGGTATTGTTATTTCATTATATGCTCCCAATGAATCTATGTAAGCATTGTTATATTATTGAAAATTTAGACAAAAAATTATCAAGTATTATCCTAATGATACTAGGTAAGGAGATAAAATTATTGTTTAGTAGCTTTAATGTATCCATACAACAACTACAAATTATAGTCTTATGTTATCTTTACATATCCTATTTTTTCACTCCATCTTTTTGAGTCAAATCCGAAATTTCCATGATCTTTAATATACCTAATTTCGACGATCTGTATTTTTGACGTGATTTTTTTGCCTCGGTCTTTTTGAAACAAAGCTGATTTATTACCAATATTTTGGTTTGTCGATATATTGTTATTCACTGATGAGCTTAAGTGGCTACAATGTGCTGGAGGCAGGCATAAGGTGGGAGGTTCAAACATTCCCAGCATGCACTCTTTTTTTAACAACCATATATGTACATATAAAGTGCGTGCGTGTGTGTCTATACATATCCACACACACACACACACACACAAGGTGTATTTGCTATACAACAGAGCCAAATGGCCTAGGTGGTTATAGCGCACGACTATTAGTTGAGAGTTGGGAGGTTTGAACCTTCTAATTCGTGCTCTTTTTTTTAGTGTCCATCATAATATATATATATATTACATAAATAATTTTTGGACATTAGAAAAGAAAGAACGATGGAGGATTCAAACCTCCAACATTATTGTTAATAAC